TTTCAGCTTTTCCTTCCCTTCTCTTGAGGATCTTTGTGTAGCTGTGGCAGAGGTTGGCCCAAAAGCTTGATCTAATCACCCAGTCTGCCTTCAGCCACATTTTTCTGACTTTGCTGATAGCCCCATGTCCCTGAGCTGAGAGTTACAGGACAGCCAAAAAAAACTGCTGTCACTGCTGCTGTGACAGTTTGCAGGAGTGGCTGGAGCACAAGGGACATGTCAGCATCCTCTTCTTGAAAATTAAAATCCGTGAGGATCTGACCTGTCTGCCTTAACCCCATTTCTGTCATGGTGGGGCTGCTCCCTGTGATCTGCTACTGGCTGGGGACATCACAGAACCTCAGATGTTTTTTCCTCGAGTGCCAGCTCTGGAGAAGGCAGCGTGTGGGCAGCAGAAGCAGCAAATATTTATGATGAGTCAGGGGGAAGCTGGAATGATGATGAGCTGCTGAAGAATGTGAAGGCAAGCAGGATTATGAGGCCGTGGAACTGGAGCAGCCACTGATTCCTGAAGGATGAAGCAGTTGGATTTCCCTGATGGCCCTACATGGCCTCTTCTGCCTTGAGGAAGGGGTTGTGTGCCTGACAGCTTGGCAGTATTTTTTCCCCAATGGTATCATTTGGGTCTAAGAAAAGACATTACATCTTCCCCCAGCCATGGCCTCTTGTATTCCCCATGCACTGCAAACAGGGGCAGGAGCCTCAGGCAGCTGTGCCTCCAAGGGTCTGGGGTGTTGGATGAGCTTGGAGCCACCCACCAGGTTCTCATGGGCTGGAGTGTGGGACCTGTTCCCTTAGTTAGGAGGGAAGTGCTGACATGGTGGGAAAATGCTCTAGTGTACAAAGTATAAAAATTATGTCCTGAAGGAGCTGGATGTTGGAGAGGATGGGATTTGGCCAAGACTTCAGCAGGAAAAGGGTGGCAGGTGATTTTTTTCTGCTGGGGAGAACAAATTTACAGGATGGGAGCAGCACACTGGGATTTAACTAAGTGCTGTTGCAGCACCTCCCTTTAGAGTCAGGGTAGGCTGAGAAAAAAGATGTAAAATCTATAGTCTCTGTGTGGATTTTGCAAACACATTTTTGTATTCTGCTACTCAAAGCTCATCACCCTTACGTGCATGCCTTGAGAGCAAGGATTGGGAGGAGGAGATCTGGGCACAAAACCTTCCTGTGCTCTTCTAGTTGGGCTGTACTCAATTTGTCATCAAAATAATTTGCTGAACACAGACTAGGGCTGGAACTTAAAGGCAGCCAATGTTTTCCTGGACTTTCATGTTGATTGCATGATCAAATTATCTGGTGAATAAATTCTTATGAAAGGGCTTGATGATGCTTCTCCCTTCTGTCTCCACTGGGAAACCTTTGCAGCTGCTTGTGTGACCTGGCCTGAACCTGGCAAGAACTCGTGGACCTGGGCAGGTCCTGGTGCTGCTGCTGGTGCCTACATCCCTCTGGATGCTCTTTTGATGATGTTGGGGTTTTTCCTTGTCTTTCTCCATCACCTTGCTGGCACCTGTCGTGACACCACAGCAGCTCGTGGTGGAAGCCCTGGTTCTGATGGAAGCAGTAAACCAGACAGCCCGGCTGGTTTGTGTTTCAGCAGCATGGCTGGGATTCAGGTGGGGATGTTGTTCAGCCTTCCCTGCTGCTCGATTTAGCTGGGGTGTAGGGTTTCCCGGGAATGGGCCGGCTCGGAGCCTCCCTTCCCAGGGTAAACGTAAAGGTTAAAGTGTGCTGGTGCTGCCGCAGTTGTGACAACGGCGTCGCCAGGGAACGGCGTGCTTGAGGCGCTGCCAGACAGCCCCAGGACAGGCTGTTTCCCAGCGGCAGCCAATGTAGGCTCTGGCTTCAGTTCCTGAATGGGAAGGGAGAAAAAAAAAAGCCCAAGCCCAGGCTGAGAAGCCTGGGTGGTGGCTGGTTTGCAGAGCCCCAGGGCACTGTGCTGCTCCTTGGGCATGTGGTTTTGGACTGAGGCATCTGAAATCCTGGGGTGGGACAGATACTGCCCTTCAATTCTACAATTCCTTCTTCCCAAAGGTGTGATTTCAGCCTATTTCTCTCTGCCCACAAATGAATTTTATCTGTGATAATGCCAAGCCATGGCTCCCCAGTACCCTCACCCAGGGCTTTGCTTCCTCGCCTTGTGCCAGGCATTTGTGCCCAGACCAACCTTGCTCCCAGGGAGTGTGGAAGATTGCAAGCATCCTGGGAAGGCTGGCTGGTGTCCAGCTGCTTGCTCCTGCTCTCCTTGGAGAATTTTATCCCCGTGTCCACCACACCAAGAGCTCCAAGGCGGCTGTGGGGCACAGCTCTGGCTCACGGGCTCCTGCCTCGTGCTTGGCCATGGATGTGCTCCTTCCACCTGGCTCCTTCAACCTTCCACCCTCTGCCAGGAGGCTGCAGAGCCAAAGGCTGGCGGAGTGGTGGCAGTATGTGCCTGAAGTGACACTGGTGGCCTCCAGGTGCCTGGCAGCCCTCAGCTGGAGGAGAGAGGCAATTCCAAGCTGTCTGTTGGCGATGACAGTCGATGGGCAGAGGCCCTGCTGGCCAGGCACAGCATGTGGCCAGTTATTGCTGACTGTGGCCCTGCAGAGGCCAAGGTGGGGGACTCCCACTCATCACAGGAGTGGTGGCTGTGCCAGGGCTGGGCAGTGTGTGTGTCATTGTCACCAACAACTGTGGCTGCTGGTGATGCTCCAGCCTCTGCTTGTACCCAACTGCATCAGCACATCGGCGAGCTGGAGCTGTGTGCCTGCTCCTGCATGATCCCTGCTGCTGCTTATCACATTCCAAGTCCTGCCATGGATTTCAGGAAAGGAGCTGGCCTGGTTTTGAAGCCACAAACCCCAGATGTGAAGACTGGAGCAGGACAGCTCCAGATCTGCTCAGGAGTCCCCAGCTGTGTCCCACTGAGCAAGTGTTGCTCTTGCATTGAGGTGCTGGTGGTGGGTGCCCCAGGCCAGGGACAGGTGGGACAGCAGCACCTCAAGGACAGAGGAACAGCTGTGCTCCCATCCTGGCTTTTCTCAGTTTCAATGCCACATGTGAAGCACTGGCAAAGTCTGACCCAGGCTGTGGCACACAGATGCTGGTGGCTCGCTGGGAGCTGGGATTTGCCAATGTGGAGCAGCAGCACTGCCTGAGCAGTGTTGGTCCTCCTGGGAGGTGCTGCAGGCAAAGTGAGCACTGCCTTGGGAGGCTGCTGCTGCTTGTTGGTTGACTCAGCTCCACCATGGATGGCACTGGCCAGGGCAGCCACCCCACCTCCTTTGCTGCTGCAGCCTCCAGCTCTGCCACAGGTAAGGTTTAAACTGAGGAGAAAGCAAAGCAAGGTTTGAGCAGCCAGGTTTGGTGTCTGGCAGGACCTGAGCTTGGTGTGGCTGTGGGGTGGGGAGCTGGGAGCAGGACCAGGCTGGCAGCTGGCAGGGGCTGAGGCTGGAGCAGCCCAGGGTAACCTCAGCCTCCCCGGGGGCACCTGGCCGGCCTGGGGAGAGTCACACTCCTCCAGCAAATGCCAGGACTCAGCCCCACACAGTGCCTGAGGTGAGTCCTGGGGTGCAGCACCCCAGAAAGAGCTGGCAGTGCCTGTACAGTGCCCATACACACAGCCCAACCCCTCTGGAGCCTCCAGCTCCTCTGTTTCTTTCCCTGATTCTCAAAACACTTGATTTTGCAGAAACTTTCCTCTGGTTCCTGGGGAAGGCTGCAGCCACTGGCCTGTGCCCAGTTCCCAGCTGCTGTCACCTTCATCAAGGCCCAGTGGCAGTGCCTGAGGTGCCACATCATACCCACAGAGCACAGGGTCCTTTGGAGCTGCTCTCCCAAAGGGCCACTGCCAGGGGCAGAGCTGGCCACAGCTCACCAGCCCAGGGACCAGCACCATCACCAGCTGCTCCTGGCCACCATCCCCGTGGGTTGGCCAGTGGCCACCTTGTGTCACTTGTGGGCACCTTGGAGGACCTTAGCTACCTGAATCCTGTCCAGCTCGCCCAGGCCACCCCCACGGGATGGTTTTGGGGTGCCACTGTGTCCAGTGCCAGCCCTCCCTGTGGTGCTGTGCTGGAGCAGGAGGCGAGTCCGTCCCTGCCCCCTGCCCCTTGTCGGCGTGTCCCCAGCCCACGGGGGACAGGCGAGAGTGGCGTGTCCTTTGAACGGGCTCCAGCAGTGACAGGTGCTGGGAAAGGCGAAGTGGGCCGGCTCCCGCTGCTGTAAAGGATCCTCCTCTGCCCGGCTGCTCCGGCTCCGTTACAGGCGGGCAGGAGAGGCTGCTCCCGCGGCGCCGCCACAGCGCGGATGCTGCTCCCCTGACACCCCCCGCACCGGGACCAGGTAACGGGGCCGGGGGGTGGGGGGGTCCTGCGGGCAGTGGAGCCCCCAGCCCTGCCAGGAACACCTCCGTCCCCACGGGCTTCCTGTGCTGAGCTGTGGGATGTGGGAACGCTCTCCAGGGACTGCTCTGCTACACCTCCTGTCCCTGCTGCTGGGATGGTCGCTGCTGGGTCTGTTCTGGGGCTGGGCTGTGCCGGGCTCTGTCCCTGGCTGCACAGGGAGTGTTTTGGGACAGGGTGAGGAAAGACGACCGGGCACAGGAGGGCAATGGAGCCCAGGGCAGAGCAGCCACGGGGATTTGGGGATCAGGTACTGGGCTGGAGGGCAGTGCAGGTACAGGCACCAGCAGGTCCCCTTGGTGGAGCTGGTTACCCCTGGGCAGGGGGACAAGCAGCGCTGGCGGCTGCTGGGTGAGGGGGTCTGGGTGCCCCTGGGCAGATGGGGTTTGCCAGCACGGCTGGAGCTCTGTGTGCTTCAGGGGCAGCAATGGTGGGGCCGTGCAGTGCTCACCTCCCCTGATCCCCACTGCCAGCCCGCGGCCAGAGCCCTGCCACGGTGGGATGTGGCCTTAAATTGTCACCCTGGCCGCGCCGCGCTGGCTGTTTGCGCGCCGGGGGCCCGGTGACAGGTGCCGGGGTCAGGCCATCGATCAGTCACCGCGGGGCAGATACCGGGGCACAATGGGACGGTGCCGGCGCTGCTGGCCACGTGGGCTCCGTGGCTCGGTGCCACCAGCCCCGGACCGCCGGCTGGGCGGCGGGGACACAGCTCCCGGCTGCAGGGCAGCAGCTCAGCTCATCCCCGCAGCTCATCCCCGCAGCAGCTCATCCCCGCAGCACCTCATCCCCGCAGCAGCTCATCCCCGCCGCCCATCGCCGCTGCCCGGCTCCTGCCGGCCCCTCGTGTCCGGCGAGCCCTCAGCTGCCGCTTTCTCTCCCGCAGGAGCCCCGCCGAGCCGGGAGTGTCCCATGGAGCACGGGGGAGGCGCGGGCGGTGCCCACACCGGGGGCACCGGGGGCACCGGGGGCACGGCCCCCCCCGAAACCCAGGGCAGCGCAGCGGCTGCAGCCCCCCAGGCTGCCCAGCCCCCGGGGGGGACAGCGCCGGCCGCCACCGTGGCACCGGACACGGGCACGGATGAGCCTGGGCAGGACAAGGCTGGAGGAGGGAGGACAGAGCCGGGGCAGGAGACAGCCCTGGCTGCTGCAGAGCTGCAGGATGGACGGGAAGCAGCTCCAGGAGAGGAGGCTTCGGCTGTGCAGAGTGATGGAGGACAGGCAGCATCCCCCGAGGAGAAGGTGACAGCTGCCACTGAGGCCCAGGGTGTAGGGAAGGAGGAGAAAGAGAAGCCTGGGAAGAAGAAAGATCCAGCTGCAGGGGAGGTCAAAGGAGGAAAGGCTTCGGCTGCTGCAAAGGCTAAGGATGGAGGGAAGGATGAGCCCCTGGAGGGGAATGGCCTGGCTGTAACTGAGGCACAGGATGGAGGAAAGGACAAGCCCAAGAAGGAGGAAGCACCTGGTGGGTCAGGGGCTGAGAGTGGTGGAAAAGCAGAGCCCGCTGAGGAGAAGGCTCTGGCTGCAGCAAACTCTGAAGGAGGGAAGGCAAAACCTGTGGAAGAGACAGCCTTGGCTGCAGCTCAGGCTCAGGATGGAGGCAAAGGTGAGCCTGTAAAGGAGAAAATCACAGTGGTTGCAAAACAGGAGGTCCCAGCCACTGCTAAAGCTCTGGATGAAGGGAAGCAAGATGCAAAGACAGAACAAGCCCCAGGTGCCAAGCCTGCAAAGGAGAAAACCACAGCTGCTGCAAAGGAGAAGGCCCCAAGTGCTGCAAAGGCTCAGAATGGGAAGAATAAAGTGGTAAAGGCAGAAAAAGCCCCAGCAGTTAAAAAGGCTCCAGATGGAGGCAAAGAGGAGCCCCCAAAGGAGAAGCCTCCAGCTCCAGGGAAGGAGAAAGCCCCAGATTCAGTGAAGGAGAAAGCTCCAGCTTCAGTGAAGGAGAAAGCCATAATTCCTGCAAAGGAGAAAGCCCCAGATGCTGCTAAGGCTCAGGATGGAGAGAAGACAGCAGCAAAGGCAGAGAAAACACCAGCTGAAAAAATGGCTCAAAGTGGAGGCAAAAAAGAGCCTGAAAAGGAGAAGTCTCCAGCAGCTGAGAAGGTGCAGGATGGAGGGAAGAAAACTGCAAAGGTGGAAAAACCCACAGTGGCATCAAAGGCTGGGGATGAAGGGAAAGATTCTAAAAAGGAGAAGGTCCCGGCCACTGCAAAGGCTCAGGATGGAGGGAAGAAAGCTGCAGAGGTGGAGCCTCCCAGACCTGGAGCAGAGGCCGGGGACGGGGCTGTGGAGCCCACGGAGGCAGCAGCCATGGCTGCTGCGAATGCTCAGGGTGAAGGGGAGGAAGTGTCCCAGGGGACAGAGGGACAGCCACCAACGGCGCCCGAGCCCCCGCGCCCGGCTCTGCTGCAGAGCCTGAGCTGCCCGGCTGCCTGCCACAGGTACCCACTCCCTGCTGGGCTGGGGGGAGCCCCCTCGCTGCTCCAGGGAGCCCTGGGCCTCTCCCTGCTGGGCTCCCGAGCTGCTGGCTGGGCTCTGCTCACCTCCCACTCCTGCTTCCAGGCAGGAGCAGCCCTGGGCAGAGCTGGCAGAGATGGAGACGATAGAAGAGGAGACCACGATGGTGGAGCCAAAAGAGGGTGTGACAGAGCCTGGCTCTGGCCCGCCAGCCCTGGGGGACCTGCAGCCCCTGGAGCCAACCAGCACCCCTCAGGAGAGGACATTGCCCAGTGCCACAGGGCAGCCCCCGGATCCTGCTGGGGTGGCAGAGCAGCCTGGACCTGGGGTGCAACCATCTTTGACAGAGGCAAAGCCACCCCCCAGCCCCTACCTCACCCCTGATTTTGGGAAGGAAGACCCTTTTGAGATATTGGGTAAGGCCATGAGGTACCTGCCTTTTCCTTTTCCCCCGGCTGTGGAGTGACAGCCTGGGAACCCCTGGCCCTGCCTGCTGCCCACACTGCCCTCCGTGCTGCCAGCTCCTGTCCTTGGCTTGTCACCTGCCTGGTGGCCTCCGAGCTCCCCTTTCACTGTAAACAGGGCTAAATACGTCGCGTCCCCTCCTGGCCTGCTCTGGCCACACTGCCTGTGAGGAAGAGGAGCCTGGAGAGTGACAGTGACTGTCTGGCAGGGGACAGCATGTCCTCATATCCTGCACCACTGTCCTTGTGGGGATGGCAGGGCTTGGGGGCAGTGGGTGCTTGTGGGGATCCCTGTGAGGCTGGGCCCTGCTCTGACCTGGGAAAGGGTGACTCAGGAATGTGTGCACGGGGTGCCCTGTGAGTGGGATCTGTCCTGGGAGGGTGGGCAGGAGGTGGTGGCATGCAGGGGGATTGGCCTGGAGAGGGTGACAGACAATGACATGGCCTGGAAAGGGTGAATGCGACATGGGTTGGTGGGGGTGGCTGTCATCAAGTAAGGTGGGTGCCGTGGAACAGAGTGTCATGGGGGGGAGTGGGTGCCATGCAGCAGGGACCCTTCAGGGGCTGCTGCATTATCCAGTGCATCCCCAGCACACAGCCCAGCACTCGGCACCTGGCCACATCCTGCACCCACAGGCTTGGCTGGGTGCCTGTCTTCATTCCAGGGCAGCCCGAGGTACCCAGAGCGGGGTCCCCTGCACAGCAGATTCCCTTCTCACCTCACCCTTTGTCTCTGGCAGACGATGTCCCTCCGCCGCCCGCGCCCTTCGCTCACCGCACCGTCACCCTGCGCTCCGCCAGCGTCAGCCCCCAGTTCAGCCTCAGCTCCAAGGACATCCTGGGGGGGTAAGGAGGGGCCCCGGTGCTTCTCCTGGCACTGTCCCAAGCTGCCCTCCAGCTGGCAGCAGCCTTGCGTTGGTGGGACTCCTCTGGTCGTGCTGGGTGGGTGCCCCGGGCAGTGCAGAGCAGCAGCACAGCGCGGTGTCAGGGTCCCCAGCAGCCCGGGGGGCTGATGGTGGGGGCACTTCTCCCTCTCTCCCTTCCTCCTTCCCTCCACAGGGGCAAGTTTGGTGAAGTTCACACGTGCACAGAGAAGGAGACGGGGCTCAAGCTGGCGGCCAAAGTGATCCGCAAGCAGGGAGCAAAGGACAAGGTCTGAACGACGCCGGGCAGGTGGTGGCAGTGTTACACTCCGTGTGTCCCTGGTGTGGGGACACAGCCTGTCCCAGAGGCACAGCCAGCGCTGACACCCCACTCTGGGGCTCCTTCTGCAGGAGATGGTGCTGCTGGAGATCGATGTGATGAACCAGCTGAACCACCACAATCTCATCCAGCTCTACGATGCCATCGAAACGCCCCGGGAGATCATCCTCTTCATGGAATTGTGAGTGCCTGTGCCTGCCTTGGGGCTACATCCCACTCTGGCTCTGCTCAGCACCCCGTGGTGGAGCTGGGACAGAGCCCTCAGGAGGGCAAGGAGCTCTACAGGAGGATGGCTTGGGGCAGGGAGTCCCCCAAAAGTGACCCCCTGTCCCTCCCCATGCAGCGTGGAGGGCGGCGAGCTCTTTGAGCGGATCATCGACGACGACTACCACCTGACAGAGGTGGACTGCATGGTGTTTGTCCGGCAGATCTGCGAGGGCATCCGCTTCATGCACCACATGGGGGTGCTCCACCTCGACCTCAAGGTGCGGGGCTGGGGGGACAGTGGCAGGGCCAAGGGTGGCAGCAGGACACTGGCTAGCTGTGGGAGGGATGCCTGTGGGTCAGCATTGCTCTGGTGTGGGTCAGTTGCAGGACCTATGGGCTGCTGGGTCTGGGCAGTGGGGATGTCCTGTCTTGGTGGTGGGGCAATGTCACCGTGTCCCCACAGCCTGAGAACATCCTCTGTGTCGCTGCCACCGGGCACATGGTGAAGATCATCGACTTTGGGCTGGCTCGAAGGTGAGGTTTTCTTTCTCAGCTCTGTCTCTCCTCCCTGTTCCCCTTCCACCCTTCATCTCCATGAGCCTTTGGGTACCAGGACCTACTCTAGGCCATTACTTTGGCCATGGCACTCCCTGACTAGCTGGGCAGGGCAGCTGAGAGAGGGGCAGTGGTTTGGGGGAGCAGCCTGTCCCCCTTCTGCTGACTTGCACCCCTCCTCGGCTGCAGGTACAATCCCAATGAGAAGCTGAAAGTGAACTTTGGCACCCCTGAATTCCTCTCCCCCGAGGTGGTCAACTACGAGCAGGTCTCCTACTCCACGGACATGTGGAGCATGGGCGTCATCACCTACATGCTGTAAGTCAGGGCTGGGGCTGTCTGTGCCATCTGGGGAGCTGTGGTGCTGGGGCACAGCTCCCCTGCGTGCACAGCTCTCCCCAGGCACCTGGCTCCCTGGTGGCACGTGGGGGTACTGGATGGAGAGGTGGCTGTGTGGGGCTGGGGGCAGGAAGAAGCTCAGCCTGGCTGCAGGCAGGACGGTGGCAGCACATCCCTGGAACATCCCTGGCCAGACTGGCTCTGTTCCAGGGGGTCTGGGAGGTGCTGAAGCCTGAGAGCACCTGACTCCTCACCTCTCTGCACCCCCAGGCTCAGCGGCCTCTCCCCCTTCTTGGGTGATGATGACACCGAGACACTCAACAACGTCCTGGCTGCCAACTGGTACTTCGATGAGGAGACCTTTGAGAGTGTCTCCAACGAGGCCAAGGACTTCGTCTCCAACCTCATCATCAAGGATAAAAGGTGTGAGGCTGGCAGTGGCCGTGGGGTCCTGGGATGGGCATCCCCAGAGCTGGCCCGGGTACCACATGCTGCCTCTTCACCAGGGCCAGCAGCATCCCCTGGGTCCAGGACTGAATTAACCCCATGGGGCTCTGCCCCACTCTGATTGTCCCCAACAGAGCCCTGTATGCCTGCAGGGACACCCGTCACCAGCAGGATGTGCTGGACCCCTCAGAGTCCTGCGCAGTCCCTGGGCACATCCTCCCATCTGGTTCTTCCCTGCAGGGTTATGGGGTCTGGGGCTGTGGAGTGGCTGGAGAGGGGGGGGGTTGGGGTTTAGCAGGGTTGATGTGGCTCCTCTTTCCCCCAGTGCCCGGATGAGTGCTGACCAGTGCCTGCAGCATCCCTGGCTCAATAACCTGGCAGAAAAGGCCAAACGCTCCAACCGGCGCCTCAAGTCCCAGGTGCTGCTCAAGAAATACGTCATGAGGCGGCGCTGGAAGGTGCGGGCAGGGGCGTGAGGGTCACAGCTTCTGAGGGGGCTGGGAGGGGGCTGCCAGGCTCTGCCTGTCCTGGTGGATGGCATTTGGAGCATGGAGAATGGCTCCATCTGTCTGTGCTGCTGGCAGCTGGGACACAGGGCTGGGGAGCCTTGAGCGTGGGTGCCCCTGAGGAACACCCCCATCGTGCACAGGTGCCTTTGTCATGGTTACTCCTGAGCTGATCCTAAGAGCAGGTTTTAGGGCAGGAGCAGTGTCAGGCCCCAGAGCAGTGGCACAGCCTTGCCAGAGGATGAGAATCTTTCCTCTTCCCTTTCACAGAAAAATTTCATCGGGGTGTGCGCTGCCAACCGCTTCAGGAAGATCACCAGCTCGGGGTCCCTGACAGCACTGGGCATCTGAGCTGGGCTCCAGGGGAGCCGAGGCCAGAAAGAAGCCATTGAGAGGGACCCCCACCTGTCTGGAGCAGCTGTGTCGAGCTGGTCCCACTGTGCCCAGGACCACATCCCTGCTCAGTCTCAGACTGTGAGGCTGCTCCTGAGTGGAGGTCTCTGATCTCAGCTCTGGCCCTGCCCTGGCTGCGTGATGCCCGACCTGCAGCATCTCTGCTCTGCTCACGCTTCCTTCTCGTGCCCTCGGGGAGGAGCAAAGCCATTCCGGTGTGATCCCGCTGCCTCGGCCACCTGGTGCTTGCTGCTTTCGGACTCAAATGTGCCCTCTCTGCCTGTAAATGCCGCAGCCGTGCCTGCCTTCACTGCCGCTGGCCCCTGCCCTGCCCGACCTCCCTTCCCAGCTCTGTGGCCGGCGATGATGCTGGAGGGCACCGCGGACCCTCAGCCCGGTGCTTTGGCACCGGAGCCGGGGCTCAAGCACCTCCTCCTGGGCATGTGGGAGCGGAGCTGGCCCCGAGCTGCTGCTCGCACAGGAAGGGAGGAAGCAGCAAGCACGCTTCCAGCGGCCTCCCCAGCTGGGAGCCAACGAGGAAAGAAGGAGGCTTTGTCTTCTTCCTGCCCTCCCTGCCCTTCGGTTCTGCCAGCGGGGGAAAAACACAACCTCTGCTTCACCCGCGGCGGCAGATCGCGATGAGCGGGGCGGGCTAATGCAGAGCAGCTGGTGCTCGCTCCCCCGACCACCAAGGCAGCGGAACTGCTGGAGCTGCTCCCCCGCGCCGTGCGGGGGCTCCGCGGCACCGGCTGCGCACCGGGGGCTGCCCCAGCTCCCGCGGCTCGTCCCCATCCCCGTCCTCCCTGCCTGCGCCCCTTGGGCCTCCCCGGTGCTGCCGGGGATGGGCACCCCCGGGGCTGGCAGCACCCAGCCTTGCAGGAGGGGATGGCAGCTGGCAAGCAGTCCCCCAGCTTTGGCTTTTGCCATGGCTAAGCCCCCCCAAGCCAAGGCTGTGCGTTTGCTCTGGAGCTGCCTCTGCCGTCTGTGCCTGCTGGAAAAACATCGGGGAGAGACACGAGGAGACATTGCTGCTCACCCCACGCTGGCTGCAGCAGGGGAAGGGGCTTCAGGCTTGTCCCCACCAGGCAGGAGCCACGGCTGCTGGGACCCTGCCTCAAATTGGAGCTCTCCACAGCGCTCACCTTCTTGTAAATAAATGTACAGGTCTGCCACAGCCCACACCTGCCACGCTGGGGGCTGGGGAGGCCCTGCTCCCACCTGTGGGGCCTGACAGTCGCAGGATGAGTGAGATGAGGATGGGAGGCAGAATCTCATCTCTGGCAGAGGGAATGGACAGGGACCACCTGGTACATCCCGGGCAGGGCTGTGCAGGCACAGTGCTGAGGGTTTCTGGTCTACACACCCAACAGCTCTGAGCACCCCCGGGGATGGGGGAAGGGAAATGACTGGATGGATGGGTGGATGGATCAGCTGTCAGTCAGACGTGTCCTCACATCTTCAGCATCTGCCCCTGTCGGGTGGGATGCCCAGGCAAGGGCGGGTGGGAACTGGTGCCCCTTTGCCCAGGGGAGCTGTGGCTGGCCCTGAAGAGGTTAAGGCTGCCAGAGCCCGGACTCGGGCGGCCGCAGGCGTCCCTCCCAGCCGCTTCCTGCCGGCAGCCTTTGACCGGTTCCTGTCGGTGACCACCCCGCAGGCCTGGACGCCAGCGCAGCCCCATCTGGTTCGAGTTACGCTCCGCGGCGGTGACGTCTCCTTCCTGCCTGGCCCCAGGAGCCGCGCGTCGCCCCGGTCCCGGCCCCGGCCCCGGATGGCCACAGGGCCCTGCTGTGGGGTGGCCACGGGGCTTCCAGATGGGCCATCAGCCCTGGGTATTCCTGGCACCCTGAGCTGCTGCAGGGATCAGCTCCTGAGCACTGCCCTGTGTGTGCCCGTCTGCAGCAGAGGGATGCACAGACACCAGCACAGCCCAGGGTGTGGGACCCCTACCCCACAGCCCAGTTTGGTTTCTCCAGTCCCCCCCTTCCTACCCTGGGACCCTACAGAGACACACACTGGGCTGGGTGAGTGGGGCCACAGGGCTGACACCCATGGGAGTAGCCGTGACCCCATCCTGTGCTCCCAGCTGACAGCTCTTGAGCCGCTGAAGCTGCTCGGAGTGATCTGGTCCCACTGGGGCCGAATGCTCCTGGTCCAGCCCAGGCCACGACAGCCAGGTCCGTCCCTTTTGTGTGGGGCCCTCATCACCCCCAGGGGTGCGGGCTGGGTGTGCACCCGGGTGTGCTCAGCATGCATCCCCGCAGCCCGGAGCAGCGCATTCCCCACGCACCCCGCGGCACCCACCGTGCCTGCAGGAAGAAGGATCCCCGCAGGCGGTGCAGGGAGGGAAGGGGAGCGGGGGCACCTCCGGCTCCGGCAGCACCGCCGGCAGCGGCTGCAGGTTCGCCCCTGAGCGGGCGCAGCAAAGCCCGGCCACGGCACGGCCCAGGATGGGAGCGGGCGGGGAACCAGGCCACCCACAGCGAGCCGGGAGCGAGCCAGGGAGGAGCAGAGCCGGGAGAACAGCGGGTCCGTGACCGGCAGCCGGGGTGAGAGCGGGAACGGGGAGCGCGGGGAGAGCGCACGGCTCCGATCCGCGCTCCCGGGCAGCGCGGGGCAGGAGCGCCCGTCCCTGCTGCAGCCGGGGGGACAGCGGGATGCTCCCAGCACAGGGAGCCCCTCTCGGGCACGGCACGGGGCCGGGGCCGTGTGTTCCCAGCCGCGGCGGGCGATGGGCCCGGCCACGCTGCGTGGGAACCAGACGGCCCCGGGCACGGCTGCGGCGCTCGCTTCCTCCCGCGCCCCCGGGGACCGAGCGAAGGAGGGGGCTGAGGTCAGCCGCGCTCGCCGCCCGGCGCTCCGGAGACGCCAGCATGATGTAGGCGCTCAAATATTGTTTTCCACTGGGTAGGGGAAAAAAAAAAAGGAGTAAAGAGAGGCCCAGCAGGGCTGAGTGGCGGTCCCCGGTGATGAAGGGCGGCCCCCCTGCCCTGCCCGGGGCTGGGACACTGCCATGGCCCAGCAGCAGCAGGCTGGGGGCTGATAAGGGAGCTGACATGGCCGCGGTGCTCCCGGTCCCCGAGTGACGGCAGTGTTCCTCCGTGCCAGCATGGCCCCCGCAGAGACCCCCGAGACTGGCCAAACTGGAGTCCCCCTGGCCTTGGGGAGCTGGGGGGACTCTGGCACAAATTTGGTTCTCACAGCAGCACGGAGAGCCCCTGCCAGCCCTGTGTCTGTCCTGGGGCTGGCTGTGCCATGGGCTCTGGGTGCTCCTGCTCCTGGGGAGCTCCCTTGCCCAGCCTGGGGGTGGCAGGATGGGGGCTGCAAGCACAGCCCCCCACTTTGCCAGCATCACTCTGGTCCCATTCCAGTGCTCAGAGGAGCTGTCCCAGTGCTGTGTGGGAAAGAGCCAGTGGCCAGGTCCCATCCTGGGGCTGTGTGGGACCCTGGCCACTCCAGTGTCCCCCAGTTGGGCCAGTTGGGGCATATCCCTGTGCCCAGCCCAGTGTGAACTGCGGTGACTCAGCTGGTGCCTCTTCACTGGCAGCCACCCTGCATGATTCAGGTCGGAGGAATCCACTTTCCTGGCTGTTCCCATCAGAGCTGCAGCCCCCGGCACAGCCCATCTTTGGGGCTGCCCTGCTCTCAGAGTCTGCAGGGACTAGTTGGAATTCCAGCCAAGCACTGACACAGCCACAAGCAAGGACAGAGAGGGGAGGGAGCCCTGTCCCCCCCACAGCAGAGCCTCCACGCTGTGCCACAACCTCTGGTGCCTCCCTGCAGTCTCTCTGGGGCAGCACGGGTCCATTTGCAGGGCCACACGCTGAGGCTGGTGCCACTTGTGCCACGTGTGACATCCTGTGAAAAAACAGGAACCTGGAGGGGTCTCAGGCCCAGGGAGGTGGCAGTGGGGCTCCACTGGGGGATAACTTCTGCTGCAGCACATCCCCCTGACCCCCAGGGACAAAGTTCCCTTGTACTACCATGGGATGGCACTTCAGGGGCTCCTGGCCCCGCACTGTGGCCAGACCTTGTCCCCAGCATCTCCCTGGGACACAGGACCTGGGTGTAGGTGCCCTGACCAAGTCCATGCCCTGTCCCCACATGCCCTCACCATCCCGTCAGTGCTCACTGATGGAGGGACTGGTGGGGATGGAGGCTGTGCCAGGTGCCCTTGGGCACGTGTGTCCCCCAGCCAGCACCTGAGCTGGGGCTGAGCGTTCCCAGCTTGCCCCTGCCCACTGCCCACCTGGAATGGGGCACAGAGACCACAGAGGCAGCGTTGGGGAATGTGCTTTATTAGCTGCTGGCTTGCCCCAGGGTGGGGGGGAGTCCCTCACTCGAAGAAGAACATGCCGGGTGCCCGGTAGAGGCAGGGGGGCAGCCCCAGGGGGTACCCGTTACCCCCCTGCAGTGGGATCGTGGTGCCCGGCCCCCACGGCTCCTTCTGCTCTCCTGCCCGTGGCCCCAGGGCCCCGAAGGGCGGCTGGCGGGGGGCGGTGGGGGCCGGGGGGGCTGCAGCCAGGAGATGCTCCAGCGCTGCGCCGCAGGGCCGCTCCTTCACGCAGAAGCTCACCCGGCACTGGTAGCTGCTGCCCAGCGCCTCGGGGCCCGGCCGGCTGAAGGAGCCGAACACGGGCAGCTGGGGCTGCGTGTAGCCCTCTCCCTCCAGGAAGCAGGATGGGGAGGGCTTGCCCGTGCCCAGGAGGCTGCCAGGGAAGGCGGGTGGCACCTGCCCGAATGGCTGGCACGGCCCCAGCCCAGGGGCAGCCAGCTCCTTGCCCTCCAGCTGCTCTGGGGGGGTGTCTGGGGTGGCCGGCGAGTCCTGCGGGGGGTCCCTGTGCTGGGTGGGCAGCAGGGCGGGCAGCAGGGCAGGGTGCTGGTGCTGGTGCTGGGCCGGGCGCTCGCTGGGCAGTGGGTACTGACCTGGCCGGGGCAGCTGCAGCGCCGCCGGGAGCCCCCCGAAGGCATTCTCCTTGGGCGGGCGGCTCTCGGGGGGCGTGAGGAACGGCCCCTTGGGCTGTGCCACGTCCGGCAGGTACAGGCAGGGCTGCCTGGCCTTGGGCGGCTGCCGCCGGGCCCAGGGCTCAGCACACCCCGGCGCCCCGGCACCCTCAGGGAGAGCGGCAGGGCTCGGCAGGCGTCCTGTGGCCGACGGCGAGCTGTAGCCCCGCTCTGCCTTCCCCTCCTCCGGCAGCGGGGCGGCGGGCAGCCCTTGTGCCTGCTGTCGGGGGGTCTTCCTGAGCCCCTCGTCCCCCTCAGTGCCTGGTGCTTCCCGGAGACCCTTCTTCCTGGTGAAGCGCCGGCGGCGCCGCAGGAAGCTGCCGTTCTCGAACATGTTGTAGCACTCGGGGTCCAGGGTCCAGTAGTTGCCCTTTCCCGGCTTCTTGTCGTCGCGGGGCACCTTGACGAAGCACTCGTTGAGGGAGAGGTTGTGGCGGATGCTGTTCTGCCAGCCCTGCTTGTTCTCTCGGTAGAAGGTGAAGCGGCCCATGATGTAGCGGTAGATGCCGCTGAGGGTGATGCGCTGCTCGGGCGCGCTCTGGATGGCCATGGTGATGAGGGCGATGTAGCTGTAGGGTGGCTTGGTGGCCTCAGCGCCGGGGAAGGCGCCGCCGGCCGGCTCCGGGGCCGGTGGGCTGCGCAGCGCCGCGTCTCCGACGGGGAGGTCCGGCTGCATCCTCCCTGCCGCCGATCCCGCTCCGCTCTGCGGCCGATCCCGCTCCGCTCTGCCGCCCGGCCCCAGCACGGCCCGATAAAACCCGCCGGCCGGCGAGGGGGCGGCGGGCCCCTCCTCTGAGGGGCCGCCCAGGGCGGAGCAGGACTCTGCCGTCCAGCGCTGGTCCCTGCGGACAGACAGACGGATGCGCCGCCAAGACCTGCGGCCAGCAGGCAGTGGCCCCGGGGCTGGCACGGCCGCGGCCTCCCCGGGGCAGAGGCGGGCACAGCCCCCGGCTCCCCCGGCCCCTTTCCCACGGAAGGTTCCCACGACCTGGCTCTCATCCTGCGCTGCTCACGGTGAGCAGCCGGGCTCTGGCTGGGCCTGGAGCGAGGCTGAGTGAGGGATGTTGGCAGGACTGAGGGGCTGCCTGCCCTCAGGTGCCCATCTGCCCCCTGCCCACCCCAGTGCCTCAGCCCCAGCCTGGCCTTGTGCTGGATCCTGGGCCAGGTCTCTCTGTTGTGCCAGGTCCCTGCGTTGTTCCCAAAACTCTGGGTGCAGCACAGGCTGCAGGAGC